AATATTTTGTAATTTAACCATCCCAGGCTCTAAACAGCCTCCATTCTCGACCTCAGCTCAGATCTCCTCTGGGAAAACATCCTTATCCAGGAGGCTTTAGCAGATAAAGCCTTGAGCACCACCCCCGTCCCACCAAGACTGCCTTATTCCTGTCCCTGGAGAATATCGAGACAGGTTGGCTTCAAACCAGAAATCCACCATTGACAGGAGCTTTCTGAACTTGGGTCAGCCCCTCAACTCCCTGGATCATATTCACAATCTCCCACTTTGGAGTGTAAAGGGAGATGGCCAGATCTGCCTTAGGCCAAACTAAATTTAAGTGCTCAGCCTATCATGAAACAGGAATGTCTCTGATTTCCAATTGTATGCTCTCAGATGAGGAGGCTCAGTGCCATGAGGCCCGGTTGCTAGGCAAACCTTGTGGCCTGAATTATTGATGGATGAATTCATCAGGCACACTGCCTTCACCCATCCATTCAGGTCAGGTTCAGCATACTGAAAAACAGAGCCTGAAACTATACATTGCCTGCCCAGAACTAAGATACTCTGGTCCAAATTCCTTAACCTTCTGTGTAGCTGGAATGTTGGAAAGAGCAGCAACTTTGGAGTCTTACAGACCTGAGTTCAAGTCTCTCCTCCCCCATTGCTGACTGTATGACCTGGGCTGGCTAGTTTACCTCTGTGAGGCTAACTAGTTTCCTCATCTGTAAAATGAAACCAATCATCCCTTACTAGTGTTATAGAGATAAAAAAAAAATGCACATAAAGTTATTAGTACAGTGCCTGAAACATACTAGGCAAACAACTCTGTTATTCAAACTTTTATAGTTTGACTCTTTGCCTTTGTCTCCCCTCATCATGAACCCCATGCTCCAGCCCCACCTCACCACCTGTCAAGCTTGAACCAAGTCGTGTGATTTTATACCATCTGTGTTCTTTATCAACTTATTACCTCACAGCTCTAAGTTCACTCTTTTTGGCAGCTCTGTGTGATAATGGAGCTGGGCCTTATAAATTTCTCCTCTGCCAACTGACGTATGTTAAGTCTTTTCAGTAGAGTGTGCTAGAGGAATCCTGGAGGAGGATGGATCTTCCCTTCCTGATTCCAGGTTGACTCACTCCCTGGGTTCCTGGAGAGCATGCTTTCTTCTCCTTTCTGCTTGGCTCAAAGTTTCTCCAGTGCTGGGTGCCTATAGGGTGCAGCTTTCTCCAGTTTCTCTGCCACATACTTTCTCCAGCTCTGAACAAGGGCAGCAGTAGCATACCCAGGAGCCCCAAACAGTGTTAGCCTGCCCCAAATCCAAGTCACTCTCTCCTCACTCCTGGACACACAAACACTGGGAGCCCCATAGGGCTGATCATGTACAGAACCAGCCACCTGACCTTCATCCTCTGGAACTGGCTGGAACCACCCTGGCCCAAGCCATAAACAGAAGTGTACTAGGTTTGTAGAGAGGGAGGTCTCTCTAAATTATCTCCGTTAACATGCTATGCTATGTAACATTTAGCTATACACTAACATCCTATAAACTTTATACTTTATTTTGTTCATTTTATTTATGGTCTTCCCAACAACCCCCACCCCCCCGCATCCCATCACACTAAAGAAGCAAGCTTCATGAGAATAGGGACGAAATTTTGCTTGTATTTTCCCCTCTGTGTCCCTAGAGCCTAGGACAGTGCTTGGCATATAATGAGATACTCAAGTATTTAAGAAGTAGAGGAACGATTGAATATTGGATGAATTCATGCATGAGTAAACAGATACTTAGTTATTAGAATGAGGATCTGTGGGACAAACTGGGATTGAGGAGGTCGACTGGGACTGTGGAATGGGATCCTCATGTCTCTCTCGGCATGAATGCCCACAGCAGACAGAGGTCCAGCGTTCCTTTCTCGACCGCTGGCAAGTTGCTTAGCAACTGGCCGCCTGGCCCTCCGCCACCGCTGGAGGGCGCGCGGGCGGGGAGACATGAACGCGCACGCGTGCGCGGCATGGGCCGGCGAAGGAGGCACGTCACTTCCTGTTTCTTTAGGGGAACGTGGCTTTCCCCGCAGCGCCTGTCTTCCCTTCTGCGTCTGTACTGCAGCGGCCGGAACTGGAGTCGGACCCCGAGCGCAGCCTCGCCATGGACTCGGCCCTTAGCGACCCGCATAATGGCAGCGCCGAGGCAGGCAGCCCAGCCAACGGCACGACGCGGCCGCCTTCCACGCCCGAGGGCATCGCGCTGGCCTACGGCAGCCTCCTACTCATGGCGCTGCTGCCCATCTTCTTCGGCGCCCTGCGTTCCGTGCGCTGCGCCCGCGGCAAGGTAGGGTCAGCGGCAAAAGTGGGTGCTTTCCATCCTCCCACCGGGGACACAGCTGACACGGGCCCGCCCCCGCCCGCCCTCCCTAGACAGGACAGACACTCACTCTCCCTGACACTGACCCTTCCCAGCTTCTCCACCCCAGGCCCACATCCCAGGATTGGCCTTAGGTGCCTCAGAATCGGGGCACCGACCCGCGAACCTTCCTTAAATAGGGCCTAGGTTCTACCCCCACTTTCACCTTGACACATTCCTCTCTCTGTACAACATACTGGGAACACTCAGTCGCCCCTCACACTCTGATTGGGACACTAATTGTTCTGAGCCTACTGGACCCAGCCAGACCAGCCCCACCCTCCGCTGTGGCTGTTCATCCCATCTGGGCAGTCACCCCATCCCGGGCTCCGGGTTAATCCCAATCTGTACCTAAGGGGGCACTGGTCCTGAGAACTCCTGAATGGTACAATCTTGCCCCATCCCTCCATTAGGAACCTTGACTCACCCCATTCCAGGGCAGATTCTAGCATCCAGGTCCATCCCTAGATTCTTGATACCTGTCTAACTATAGTCTGTAGTGTGCTCTCCCAGAACCCCCAGATCAGGCTCTTGCCTCTAAAATAAAAAATATTAACCCAGGAATATAGCCCGAGATCTCAGCCCCCAGTTTTTTTGCATCACTTTCTGGAACCAGTTTCAGCCAGCTGACCCCTCAGAGCATGGCACCTTGGCGCTTCCCTTTTTAACCAGGCGTAAACCCCTTATTTTGCTGGTTTCCTCTCCCTGACAACCAGCCAACCTTGCCTACCTGTCCTAGCCTGAGCCCAGACCCTGTTTCAATCCCTAACCCTATTCCTACCCCAGATCCTGACCCTACTTCAAAATAGCCTTTCTCCCTATGCCTCCAAGACCGTCCCTCCACCAAATTGGGCCTACCTGCCAAGTAACTTAGCTGCTGTTGGCCTCTCTGGTCAGACTGGGCCAGACCTCATCCCTGCCTTTCCTCAACATTTGTCCCATTGGATACCAAAGAGAACCCAGGCACCTTCTACCTCCCCACTTCCTCCCCACTCTTCTTCCCTATATTAAGCCCTTTCTAGCCCATTGTACCAATAGCTTCTCACTTCCTGGCACCCAGTCCCCTCCTCCAAAACCTCCTAATCTATAGTTCCCTGCTGCTTCTCCCTGACCCAAACCTGAAGTTGAACCTAAGCGGAAGCTGTCTTACCCAAAGAGGGCAGGCCCACAAAGTAGCTGCCACTTTTGAAACTGCTCAGGCCGGGATCTTGAAACATCACCCAACTTGAGCAGTAGCTGAGGCCTGCCACCTGCCATCTCTGAAATCAGAGAACTCACCTGCTGGCTCGCTCTGTGGTCAGACGTAGAGGGGAGTAGTCAGGAAAGGCTTAGGTGGCCCCACTTGCCTTTCTGTAATGCCTCTTCTAAGCAGAATTCAGGTGGCCTTCAGCCTCCCTGCCATACCTTTCAGGTTGACACTTGGTGCAGGGAGAAGTTCTGAAATAGACCAGGACAAAGGAGATGATGGCCAGCGTGTGTCAGCTGAGCAGCCTGATCTGAGGGGCTCCTTAACTGAGTAATTCTTGGCACTTTCTGCATATGAGTCACTAATCTCTTTAGAAAACACCTTCCAGGCAACAAAATTTCCTGAACCTCCACTATTGTCTAGGGTGTAGGGATGCTGCAGAGATGGTCAGAGCCCTGTCACCAGGGAGTTTTGGTGTCTGGATGAGGGAGGAATAACACCCTCAATGTGATACAGGCGACTGTAACACAAGTAGTGCTCAGGGTTTAGGGTGAAATGCTGAACACACTTGCGGCAGGGCAGGGTGGCCTTGTGGCGAAAGTGGGCTTGAGCTTTGATGTAGAGACATTCTAGGCAGAGGAAACCTGGTGAGCAGAGGCGCAAGGCAGTTCAGGAGATGGTGTGGGTGAATCGGAGGGTCTGGATAGAAGAGAGCTTTAGATCCGCTGTGGCTTCTAAATACTTCCCCCAGCATCTCCTGCAGGGCATGGGGGGTTGGAAGACTGCATGAAATTGCAAAGGACCTGATGCTTAGTAGCTTCCCACGACTAGGAGGTTCTAAACTATACAGAGCCTTCACCCTCTTTGAGTCTCCCAGTAGCCAAGTGTGGCAGGCAGAGCCAATTTTATTATCCCCATTATACAGACAGAACTGAGAGTCAAAGAAATGACCTCTCAGGATCACTCTGCCAGTTAGGGACAGAACCAGCTGTCACTAGTCCAGGGCACTCTCTTTGCTGTGTAGGTGCCTCTAAAGACCCACACTGGTGGCATTTTGGCCGAGGGAAAAATGCCTTTTACTACCCCGAGTCATGCTTCTCTGGGCCCTTGGCAATCAGAGAGAAAAGTCATTGGGATGGGGAGGGCAGGAATTTTGATTTCCCACCAGTGTTAAACCCCAAAGCCAGCTGAGAGGGCATATGAGGACAAAATTCTCCCTGGAGCCAACTTGTCCGTAGCAGGCAGGGCACATTGTGAAATCATGGAGAGAGGAAGGTGGGGCATCCAGGAGTGTGTAGCCTTGGGAGGAGCAATCTTAGATGGTGCCCATCCCTGTCAGAGACCTGTTTTCCCAGAAGAGAGCAAATCCCCAGCTCCAGCAATAGCTGCACATCAGATCTCTTCAAAGGCTCTTGACCTGTAACTCAGAGGAGCCCTTCAGCCAACTGGACTGGGCTCCTGCTCTTTGCCAGGCCCTGGGCTGGCTACCATGGGTGCCAGGACAAAGAAGGCCAAGCCTTGCCCTCACAGAGTTCCGTCACCAAGGAAAAACAGATGTGTGTGTGACCAGCTGACTAAACCGAATGTCGATGTGCCTCCTAGAGTTGTCTTTGTATAGAAGAGTGAGAGTTTGGTAGGCAGAACAGGAGGGGAGGAGGGCCTGGACCACTGGTGTGTTCAGGGAGGCCTTGAGTAGTATGACGTGAGCCTGGGGCTCAGGTAGGGCAACAAAAAGATGCTCACGGAGCATTTGGAGCCTTCGTGCTTTCTGAGGTACAGAATCCTGACGGCAATGCAACAGTTAATCTTCATAGTTACAAAAGTACTACACATTTGCACTTGTAAAAAAAAAAAATTCAAGCAATGCAGAAGTATAAAAGCCTCATCTACGGCCATGCCACCCTGAACAACATGCCACCCTTAGATCCCGTCTGATCTTGGAAGCTAAGCAGGGTCGGGCCTGGTTAGTACTTGGATGGGAGACCACCTAGGAAGACCAAGTGCTGTAGGTGTAAAAAAATAAAAAATATGAGATTGTAAACTGACAAGGTCCTTGCAATCTGTGAGGCAACCAAGGGTTGCCTCACCTGAAAAAAAATATATATATAAAAGCTTCCTCAGTACCTCTCCTTGGAGGTAACCCAGTGAGCTGTTTGGCGTGTAACCTTCCAGAACTTTTTTTGGTGTGTATGTAAACATGTATGTGCCTGTGTGTGTATCCACATGTAAACTTACTTTTATAAAAATGGGATTTTACAGCACATAATGCACTATAGCTTGATTTTTTTTTTTTCGTTAGCAATGGCTTGGTCATGTTCCTGTGTCAGTACATGTAGGTGTACCTCACTGCTCCATGGCAGGGAGGGCGGGTGATACGCGCCCACGGTGTAGAATCCCAGAGAAACAAAGGGGTGCCCAAGGAGTCTTCCTCCCAACCCCACTGCCACGTTCCCTCCCCAGAGGCAGACCATGGTACCTGTTTCTTGTATAAACATCCAAGAGATCCTGTGCCTTTACAAATGAATAAACATACGCTTTTCCCCATTTTTGCTATGTAACTGTTGTATTTTGTTGTATGTATACTCTTTTTTGCACCTTACTTTTTTCACCAAATATATGTTGGAGATGAATATGTCGGTACCTGTGGAGTGGTTGTGTTCTTTATCAGCTGTATGGTGTCCCACCTGTACCCCACAGTGTTCAGAACAGTGGTTCTCAAAGTGTGATCCCTGAACCAGCAGCATCCGCATCACCCAGGACCTTGTGAGAAATGCAAATTCTGAACCAGAAACTCCAGGTGGGCCCAGCAGTCTATTTTCACAAGACTTCCTGGTGATTCTGATGTGTGCTCAAGTGTGAAAGCCTCTGACTTAGAGTCTTCTGCTGGTCATTTAGGTTGTATCAGTCTTTTGCTGTTAGAAGCCATGCTGAAATCAATCTTCTTGTACATTTGTTATTTCGCGCGCTCGCGCGCGCGTGTGTGTGTGTGTAGGATAAATTCCTTGCAGTTGATTTGCTGGGTCGAAGGCTATGTGTTTTAACTTTACCAAATTATCCACTGTAGTGGCTGTATTAGTTTACACTCCCACCAGCAGTGGCCTCGATTCTTGTGCAATGCTGCTTAGTAGTCCCTTCTCTGGAGGTTTTAGAGCAGGTATGTGATACAGTCAGGTTTAGGCTTCAGAAAGTGCTCCTGGCAGAGTGGGGATATGCAGGAGGGAGAAAGGGTGGAGGCTGGTGAGATGGTTGGGTGAAGACTACAGTGGGGGCAAAGGAATGGGGCGAGGGGGGCAGTTCAGGAAATGCTAGGAAGCAGAAACATAGTGAGGTGATTGAGTGAAAGTGGTGGTAAGGAGTGGAGACCCTGGGGTCTCTAGCTAGAGTGACAGAGTAACAGAGTGGTCCGTGAATTCAAGCGTTTTCTAGGGCATGGCCTGGAAGCAGTACTCCCAGAGCTCAAGGAGAGCCAGTGGCTTTAGGCTGGGCATCGGTCCTCCCTCACTGCTTTCGCTTCCGCCCTGATAACTGACATCCAGAATATCACTGGAAGCTAAATTTATTTCTGCTATTTGTGTTAGCTTTTACCCCTACTCTTTAATTATGTTTTTTGTTTCAGGAGCTATAGCATTTGCATAAGAGCAGCTGGTTTAAAAAAATCCAAGTCGAATTAGTAGAGAATTCTAACAACATTTAGTATTTTTGTAACTATGGAGATTAACTGTTCTGTTGCCTACAGGAAGCTGTTCCTCAAAAAAGGTCTCAGGCTCCCTGAGCATCTTGTCACAACCTTCCAGCAGAAATTTCCAGATGGGAAAGGTAGAGGGCATTTGGGAAGTAATAACCAAGAGTCTGGGCTCGAACCAGATGGCCTCAGTGTGAATCCTGGCCCTGCCACTCGCCATCCGTGTGACCTTAAAGCAAGTTGCTTCACCTCTCTGAGCCTCGGTTTCTTCATCTATAAGATGGAGCTATTAAAAGTCCTGGCTTCATTTTTCATGAGGATGAAATCATGTAAAGCACCTACAAGAGTGCTTGGCCCCTAGAAAGTTCTCAGTAAATGTTGCCCTTGTTATTGTCAGTCGGATTTCAAGTCTCCCGTTCTGACTCAGCATTGCAGTATAGGATATAACAGTCACCCATGGAGAAGACCGGATTCTTCTCTATGGTGGAACATCTGTCCAACTTTGTTTTGTCATCCAATAGTATTAAGCCTCTTTCCACCCCGGATATTGGGCTAAATTGAAAGGATTATGTGGAAATGAGCCGTAACACTGGTTTTTAGGCAAAGCCAGAGTCCTTTGTGTACTTTCACATCTTTGTGCTTGGACACCTTTGTGCTTGGCCTTCAGAGTCGTGCTTAAGTGACATCTGCTCCAACCACCTCTGGCACTCCCTTCTTTCCTGCAGAAGTGGTGTCTTGTCTGCTTTCTCATAATTTCCTTGTACATAATAATAATAATACAAATCATTCATACAACTTGTGTGACTTGCTTAATGCACAGCAATAAATACTTCCAGTGCAAAAATCATAGAATCCTGCCACTCATATTACAACTGAGGGAATTGGGGCTCTAAGAGAGAATAACCGACAAAGTCCCATGGCTGGAAAACAGCAGAGCTGGGTAGCAGAACAGGCTTTCTGGCCTCAGAGCGCTCTCTACCATTTGGCACTCAAACCGTGTATCACACCAGTGTGCATGTTTCATTTTGTCACGTGTCACACTGTATTGTGATATTCTATTTACATGTCAAGATATTGACTTACCTGCCTATGAACTCCTTGAGATCAGGAGCTAGTATTTTTTTGTGCTCACACTATTGCTACACAGGAAACATTGAATTTGCGGAAGGAGGTACACAGAGGGGTGAGGCACTTGCCTAAGCCCCTCAGTATACCACTGCCAAAAACAGAAACCGGGGGCTGGGAGAGAAGAGGGAAGGACGATGACCCTGACTCTCAGTGTTGGTATTGCTCACCCACCCCATCACCACCTCCCAGCAACACTGCCAGAGAGTGACTCACACAGAGCTGCCTCTGGTAGCTCCAGAAGAGAGCGCCTACCTCCCAGTCCTGTGCCTGGGCCACCTCAGCTATGCATGTGTGGGGATTTGGTGAAGGACCTCCCTGTTAATCACGGCTCCTCATAGGGTCACGGCACTTTACAGTTTGCCAGCCTCTTTCACATTCCATATCTAAGTTGGTTTAAGCCTCTTGGCCCTTTTAGAGGTAAGTAAAGCTAGAGATTGTCATCTGTTTGACAGATGAGTAAATGTCAGTCACCCTGTAAGCCATTAAGAGAGCAATGAATACCTTCGCTATATTTTGTATGCATCATTTTTTACATGTGTGAATTATATCCGTAGGAAAAATTCCCAGAAGTAGAATTGCTTGGTCAAAAGTTATGTGCATTTGTGATTCTGACACATGTTGCCAGTGTGCTGTCTACAGCGAGACTGATGTGCCCTCCTGTCAACAATGTAGGTCAGCACCTGTTTCCCCTCAACCTTGCCAACCCAGTGTGTTATCAAAACGTGTGGATTTTTGTCATTCTGATGATGAAAAATGTAACTTCATATACTGCAATTCAAGCTCTTATTAAAAGTGAGGAACATTTTTCCTGTGATTAAGAGCCATTTGTAATTCCTGTTCTGTGAATCTTTGTATCTTGGGCATGTGCAAGTCATAATTTGACACAGCTGCCCAGTCGCCCTCCCCAAAGGCTGGACCAGTTCGTATGCAAACCAGTGGCATATAAGCTTCCCAGTTCCCCACCTCTCCATCTGGTGATCATTTCACAGGCTTGCTGCTTTTGGCCCCCATCTCCTTCCCCTACTGCAGCCTTCTACAGGGACACAAGAGCCAAAATCTACCTCTCCAGGCAACTTTCTCCTTACCTTGTTTTGTCCTGTTGGTTTTTAAGAGGCAATTGTGAGCCAAAATATATATGCAACAGCAGCTGCACATGATCCCTTCTCCCAGGGATGCCGGTGCCTCATTCAGAGGATGGATGTGATGATGGACGCTTGGGCACTCTGATGAGACTGTGGCTCTTGTGGAAAGAACTTCCCTTTGACATGAGCAGAAGTCTAATATGGCCTTGCTAGGACTTCTAGTAGCTATAATTTAAAGTAGAATTAGACATATAAAATGCAATGAGAATTGTGGTTGGGAAGTAGGCTTATCCCCGTGAGGAAATCTCAGAAAGCTTCATGGCAGTGACATTTGCTGGGTCCTTGAGAACCGAAGATTCTGCCTAGGAGAGGGCATGGAGAGCATCATGATCATGAAAGCTTTTCACTCTGTGTTTTTAATATAAATTTAAACTAGACTTCTACTATTTATTGATGGATTTTCATTAGAAAGTCTTTTGGTGCGAATTCTATGAAGCTGTTTAATTCCTCTGTTGCACTGTTACTCCATTTCCAATTTTTTTTCCATTTTTATAAAACTGAAATTATTTTCATTGCATTCAGTTCTTTTTCTTGTAAATATTTATCCTCTGTCAGCTCTTCACCCAGATCACATTCTTGCCAACTATAGCATCTGCCATTGTAAACTTAATTGTGGCTTTCACTCCTACCAGATTCAGTTTTCCCAGATTTCTTAAGATTTGCTTTTCTTTGCTGTTGGTATCTTCCTATGTGTGGGTTCAGCCATTGTCAGTTCAGCTATTGTCAGTTTTGTTGGTTTTTGGTTTATTTCTGTTCAGTATTCACTCACTACCTACTAGATAAAAGATTAATCACGTTTATCTCTTAGCTAACCCATAAGAAAGTTGGAAACAGTTCTCATGAATTCTAGGACAGCTCCATTGTCACCCGTTCCCAGAGTTTTTTCTTTTAGTTATTACATACCATCACTGCCTCTGCCATAGCTCTTCTCCCCAGATCACATGTGCACGGGGTCCTCCCTGGACTGTTCCTGTCAGGATCCAGATCTCTTCAGTAGCAAAATAGAGGGATTAGACATCTCACCCCAGGTGGTTGGGCAGCACCCTTGGCAGAGGGGACAACATGAACAAAAGCCTTGAGTCAGGAAAACGTGGGAACCCTGAGCCACCTAAATGAACCAGGGCAGAGAGGGGGAAGGGGATCGATGAGCTATTCAGGCACCAAATTCTCACCAGTGTCCAACCCTTGGAGGCCAGAACCACAGCCCTGCTCAGTAGGCACCTTTTTTCTCTCCTCTAGAACGCCTCGGACATGCCCGAGACAATCACCAGCCGGGATGCTGCCCGCTTCCCCATCATCGCCAGCTGCACGCTCTTGGGACTCTACCTCTTTTTCAAAGTAAGTCCTTTGCCACCTGTTGTGTCATTTGGTTTCAATAACTGTATTTTTTGTTTGTTTTATTTTTCCCATCACAGGAGACATGCATGTTCATGTATAGAAAATAAAGAGCAGGGAAAAATAGTCATTCACCCCTAGACCCACTACCCAGAGACAACCGCTGTTGGTTTTGGGGACTCTGTCCCACCAGTCTTTACTGCTTTTCTCCATGGAGCTTTTTGTTTTGTTTTCGTAATGCCTATTTAGTTTCATTGTACCGTTTATGTTGGGATGGGGTATAGCTTGTGTCTCAGACATACCTCCACCATACTAATTGTTTTTTTTTTTTTTTAATTTATCGAGGTTTATTTTCCCAATAAAAGTTACACAGGCTCAGTGTTGAAAACCTGGAAAACACAGAAAAGTAAAAAGGGGAAAACAGCAGTCATCCAAAACCTCACTACCAGAGACAATCACAGATTCCCTTTTGAGGTGTGTCCTTCCACTGTTTCTCCCCGTGCATGGTTTCGCCGTAGCTGTGACCACGTGCTGTATCCAATTTTGTAGCTGCTTTTTTCACTCCACGTTAATAACATCATAAGCATTTTCTCGTGTTACTGCAAACTGTCCTTAAACTTTTAAAAAATATAACAGATACTATTTTCTAGTTATAAAAGTAATATACTCTGAAAACTTAGAGGGGAAAATATCAAGAGGGAAAAATACAGAGGTAATCCCTATCAATGTTTTGCCATATCTCCTTGCAGGCTTCTAATAAGCATATTTTTTAACATAATTATAATGGGAGTATTAGGTCCTTTTTTCTTTTTTTTTTTTTAATATCACATCACAAGCACTTTTTTCCTGGTTATTGAAAATTCTTCAAGGACAGCTTTTAATTGACATTTTAAAAAATACCATGTACATAGTTAAAAAACTATTTTTCAATCTAAGGGAAGGTACAAATGAGCCATAATCCTCTCTCAAATATAGTTTCTTGTGAACCTTTCTTTTATGCATAGATCTACATTTAAGTTAAAATTTAAAAATAAATTCACATCTCAAACGTACGATTCTTACCATGGATATATTTTTATATCAATACCATCAAATCTACCGCATTCTTTTTAATAGTTACTCATGGTTCTATTTTACGGATGTATCCTGAGGGGTGTTTAATGATGGGGCATCACAGCAGTACTGCCAGGGACATCTTTATGCACATCTTGGCACAGGCCCATATTTTCAGATGGATCTGCAGTAGGATTACCAGGTCAGATGGCATCTCCATTGTCATTTGGACAGGTAGTGCCACATCCCTCCAAAGAGACTGTACCAGTTTATATCATGAGTGTGCTGGCTTACCTGTACTCTCACCTGCATTATGTAGCATCCAGATTATTTTTAGCATTTTACCAGTCTGTGAGTGACACAAAAACATAATTGCGAATGCCTGTTTCCTGTTCCATCGCTCCCTCATTGTGGGATCAGAACTAAATACTTTCAAGATACCCATAAGCAGATACACCACAGTTGACTTACAGCATCCCCCTCACTTTAAACAGAATAAAATCATTCTGATTTTTACTCATAAATTAAGAGTGCATCAAATAACAGTAGGTATTCACTGGTGTGTGTGTGTGTGTGTGTGTGTGTGTACACCTCAGATGAAGAATTGAATTTATCAGATGCTTTGGTTCATGGCACACTGTCCATGCCAGGCCCTTCTTTTTTTTTTTTTTTTACCCCCTCCACTCTTGATGCCCAACTCCATTTCCCACCTCCATTTCCCTCTCTGCCAGAGGCACCTGCCCTAATGGTTTGATTTATGTCCTTAGATGTGTGTGTCCTTGTAAAATCTATGGTGTTGGTGCATCGGTGTGTATTGAGTAAAAGTCTAGTTTCCATACATAGAATTGTGCAGTACATCTCCCTCTGTTTCCTTTTCCTTTCCCCTGTACTTTTGAGATCTCTCTGGTTCTGTGTACATCTAGCCCATTGCCTCTGAATTGGCTTTTAGCAGATGTTTTTCAAGTCTTTGCTGTGCTGAGTGCCAGGAATCCACACCCAGGCCCTTGCCTCAAGACCTTGTAACATTTTAGTATTTAGGATTCTTTCCTTAGGCTATATTCCCCAGGAAAGAATTTCTGGCAGCAGAGGGTATGCGCATTTTTACTGAAGGCACTGGGTGCCTATTGCTCAGCCTGTCCTCCTCTCCTGGCAGGTAAGCCCAAGCCTGTCTTGTGCCAGAGGACACAGCATACTTCTTCCCCATGTCTCCAGAGTGTCCACGTTGACATTTCTGAAAGGCAGCTGCTTGGACAACATAACCACCAGATTCCTCTCAAACTCCAGACTGATAGCTGGTTGGTTGGTTTGCTTAGTAGTGATGGTCACTCAACCCCTTTTCTCCTCTCCTCCTGAGTGGGGCGCTGGAGTTGGTAACATTTCTCTCAAAATCATAAAATCTCCTCTATTCTGCCTCATCTAAAACTGATTGCTTTGAGGCAGCTTATAAAAATTTAACTTTGTAGCAGCCAGGGCACAAAGAAAGCAAGGCTTGGTGCACAATTCCTAGGCCACACAGTCAAGCCAACCAGACGCTCAGAGGTGCGGCCAGAAAGAAATTTTTCCCAAGGACCCACGTTGAAAGAACACAACGTGAAAGGTATACCACATGGTCATAAGTAAAACACAATTCACATGCTTTCTTCACAGGTCTTTTTCTTATAGCATTTACGTTGTAGGCCACTGAGATGTTCATCCAGTCATTCATTCTGTAAACATTTATTGAGTGCCTGCCTTGTACCAGCCCCTGTGCTAGATGCTGGGGACACCAGAGTGAGAAACAGCCAACTCATCTCTGCCTTCAAGGAGCTTCCTGTTAAGTAGTGGAGACATATGCCAATTAAATATTCACATAAGTAAATGTGAAGTTACAGTCCTAAGAAGTACTGTGAAGGCAAAGTCTGTAGCACCAGGAAAGCACAGAAGAATCAGGCTAGAGAGAACCCCTGCTCCTGCTGAGGCCACCCATCTTAGCAGCACCTCCATCCACCTCGCCACTTGGCCAAAAACCCCGGGAGTCATCCTGCTCCTTCTCAGCCCCTCAGCACATCCTGCATCTCCAGTTCCAGAACAGATCTGGAATCTGACCACTGATCATCACATCCCTCCATCCCAGCCCAGGGCACCATCCTCCCTCTGCTGGATTACGCAGTGCCCTCCTCACTGGGCTCTGCTTCCACTTGTGCCCTGTAGAACCTGCCTTCCACAAGGCAGCAGAGGAACCCTCCCAGGCCATCACATCACAGCCCTGCCCTCAGCCTTCCAGTTCCTGCCTGTCTCACCCAGATGAATCTAAAGCCTTTTCACAGCACAGCAGGGTCTGTTTCCCTCCTACTTCCCCAGCCTTGTCTCCTGAAATTCCCCTCTACTCCCTCAGCCCCAGGCACAGGCCTTCACTATTTCCTGCGCACATAAGCATATACCCACCGCAGGACCTTTGCACTTGCCCTTCTCACTCCCTCAAATGCTCCTGCCCCAGATACCCTCACAGCTGCTCCCATAGTTAATGGTCCTACTGCTAAATGAAGTAAATATTGTCCTGTTGGGGGGCTTTCTCCGGCCAACTGTCTAAATAGCAGCTCTCCCCACTTTTCTCTCCATGTCCTTGCCCTGCTTTGCTTTTCTTCTTGGCTCTCATCACCACCTGACAATATTTGCACATTCATATCTTATGAGATTCCTTCTCTCTCACTGCCATGGGAACTCTGTGAGGGCCAGAACTTCTCTGACTTAGTTCTTGCTGTAGCCCCAGTAGTTAGCATGTTGCCCTACGTGTGGTAGGAAGTCAGTAGACGTGAACCGAATTAACGAAGAAGTGGTCATGTCGAGGAAAGCTGCTCTGAGCTGAGAGCAGAAAAAGAATGAATAGCATTGGCCCAGGTGAAGGGAGGAGTGCACCCAGGCAGCAGAACAGCATGTGCACAGACTGCCTGTGGGTGGGAATGTGGCACCCACCAGTAAGGCCCTACAGAAAGGCCAGTGTGGCCACAGCACGTAGGATGAGAACAGGCATGGCATGATCCGCGGCTGGGGTCTGCAGCAGTCACCCTGAGGGCCCTGGAGGCCAAGGCGAGGCTGTGGACCTTGAGTTGTGAGAACAGAGGGAAGCTGCTGAGAGGCTATAAGCAGGGGAGCGATATGATCGACTGGGCAGATTTAAACAGATCCCGAACAGCTATTCTTGGGAGTGCCCAGTGTCCCTGTGGCCCACACAACAGCATGTTATTGCCTTCCAGTTAGAGACCTTCACAATGACAGATTCAGAAGATGTTTCAGAAGAACACGGAGCAACATGGCAAAGCCTTCCCAAAGCCCAGAGTTAACATATGACAGTTGACTTTGGAGCACTGTGAGAGAGAATATTTCTGTTTTACCTAACACCATAAGACCAAGAAGCCGCTGTCAGGGCTGGCAGGCACAACTTCCAGCCAGCACCGTGGGAGGGGTTGTCCATGGAGCGGGGCACAGGTGACTTGTCAGCAGCATGCTCAGAGCCCTAGTGGGGCTCCCTAGAGCAGGGAGAAGGAAACAAAAGTGCTTTCTGAGGTTCAGAGAGCTCCCCTCCCCCACGATTCCCATGCCGGACTCTGGGCACAAACATAATATTGTCCATCTCCAGATAACAGAGCCACCAAGCTCAAACCCACCGACTCTTTGGGGAGGTGCATCTGCCAGCCTGAGGTTCTTCTCTTTTTTCCTCATAGCCACAAACTAGAAGCCCCTAGTCCTGTCAAAGATTCTTCCTGACCCTGTTCTTCAACTTCAGAGAGGCGCGACCAACCTCCAGAAAGAAGGGAGGACTCTGGTTTCCTCACAGCCACCAGCAACCCTGACTTCCTATTTCTCTTTGTATTTCCGCCTCAGATATTCTCCCAGGAGTACATCAACCTCTTGCTGTCCATGTATTTCTTCGTGCTGGGAATCCTGGCCCTGTCCCACACCATCAGGTCAGAAGGCATCTCTGCAGCCTTTGAAGCAGCTTTCTCGGGAGCCAGTACAGGGTCTTGGATGAGAACATAACCTTTGGCATCATTCAGAGCCAGGTTTGAATCCTGGCTGTAAAACCCAAGGGAATCTTCCCCTGTCACACCGTGGGTGACCTAGGACGAGAACCATAACCTCACTGGGCCACAGTTTCCTTACAAGAAGTGATAGGAGTATCGGTGAGTACTCTTATCCGGAGGATAAGAGTATCCCCCAGTTGTTGGGAAAGTAATATTTGTGAACAGTGGTATCATGTTGCTTGTCACAGTACTGAGTTGAGTAATACCAGAGCCCCCTGCCAAGTGTTGTAGCTTGCTGCGCCAAGCACTAAGCAAGGCACCTGCCACGTGATCTTCCTTCATAGTGAGAGAGGGGCAGTGTAGTGAGCAGTTTAGAGTGCAGGCTCTGGAATTTGACTACCTGACTTTGAATCCAGACTCTGTCACTTCATAGCCCCGTGACTTTGGGCAAGTTACTTAATCTCTCTGGCCTCAATTTCATCACCTGAATGTGGAGGAAAATGCCAGTAGCTTCCTCATGAGTCATGTGGAAAGCTTTTAACACAGTATTCTGGCACTTAGTGTGCCCAGGAACTGCTGTTCGTTGTTGTTATTGTTGTTCTGTTAACCTACCAGATAACCTTATATAGTTAGCTTTTGCTTTTAATTCTATGTCACATTTAGAAACTGAAGCTCAGAGAGGTTAAGAAATTTGCTAGGATCACACAGCTGATAAACAGCAGAGCCAAGATTCAAACCGAGGTCTGTGTGGCCCAAGAGCCTGTCCTCTTTACACTGCCACCTGCTCAGATTGCCACGTGCTGTGTCAGTTCAGTGGGGATAAAGGACCTAGACTAATGATCCTCAGGTAGAGCTGTTCTTGGCGTTTTAGACATGCTAGTTCTCTGTGCATTGTGAACATCTGGCATCCCTAGCCCTCTTACCAAAATTGGAATTGTGCCTCCAGCCCTTCCCCCAGCTGGTGACTACAAAAGCATCCCATCCCCATCTGTTTCCATCGGGCCCCTTGAGGTGGTACTGCCTCGGGCCGAGAATCACTGATGCACCCTGAGGTAGCTAACAGAGTGAGAAAAGTTCCCAGGAGGAAGGAATACAACTCAAACTCAGCTTGGAAGGGTAGGAAACCTGGAAGAGTTGCAGAGGAGGGAGAGGCCAGGCCAGGAGCTAGAAAGTCCATGCACGGTGAGGGCACAGTCAGGATCTTTCTAGAGCAGTTAGACAGAGAGAACAGGATCTGCTCACAAAGGCATTGAAAGCTAAGGTGAGTTTGGCCTCATTCATTCCTCTAGGCACACTGGCAGGACAGTGTGGTAGTCAGGAGTGAGAACTTGAGAGGCAGACAGCCTTGGACCCATGACGTGGCTCTGTCGGCTCCATAATTTGTGTAAGCTACTCAAGCTGTCTAAAGATCAGTTTCTTTACCTATAAGACAGAAATACTCCAAGTACTTCTGGCAGGGGCATGGGACAGATCAAGTGAGCCATGTCTATAACATGCCTAGAGCACAGTGCCAAGTACACTGAGAGTGATGTCACAGCTTGAGGTCACAGCTGGGACTTGAACTCTGGTTTTTTTGACTGAGTTCAGTGTTTTTCAACTATATCTACCTTCACTCACAAAATCTTGGTCTAGTCACCTTGGGAGAATTCTAGTCCTGCCCCCATCCTAAAAATCGAAGGCCTAGAGAAGCTGATTGGCTTGAACCTGGCAAGATAGTGTCAGACCCAGTTACTTTTCCTCAAAGGACAGACCTCTCCCTTCCTAATGGACCCAGTGTGGCATGAGGTTAGTCACTGCCAGGCACTGGGATCCTTCCTTTTCCTTGCTGATTAGGATCCCCCAATCTTCACCCATCCCACCCCAGCATCTGTGAGAGGCTTGAGACCTCCAGCCCTCCCACAGCCCAACCACCATCACAGAGTAAGAGAACCCAATTTATTTTGAAAGCCACTGGTAGGCCATGTGCTAAGGAACTGATTATTTCATTTTATCCCAGCAACCCTACAAGAGAGAGAATCCAACTGCCCAAGCAGAATATTTTGAACCCGTATCATTTTGACACCAAAGACATCTTTTTTTTCCTTTGGAACAATAACTGAGGAATATTGTCTCAAATTTGTCATGGACTAGCCAAGAAACAGTTGTCCATCTGCCTTTTAACGGATTCATAATTTTTACTGATAGAAATTATCAACAGAAAATAGAACCAACAGCAACTAAACTGCACATAGTAAAATTTGTAGCTAACAATTGTCAGAATAATCATTTTCTTGATAAAATTTAGAGCACGAAATTTGACCTGGGAAGAGTATAAAAATAATGAATGGATGGATAGCTATGGGCAGAAGAGGTACTCACTGTAGGGGGTCAAAGCTATCCTCTTTTCAAGATGATACGGATCAGAGATGAATGAATGAATGAATGAATGAAATCATTATTGTAAAATTTACATGGAAAAGAACTGAATTTCCTGAAAGTAATTTGGGGGGGGGCATAATTTAATCATGCTATTTAGAAAGTTGGTCCAAAAATAAATTTACTTTTCTTCAATCAAATTGAATTTTTTAAAAATATTTTCTCAACAAAAAAGTGTACAGTGTTAGGATTTTTGGCAAAGTGTTTATATCTACAAACTTAGCCTTTCCTCGAGATCCAACAAGATCTGAAGGATTGAGACAGGGGGGTTGTAGGCCACCAGGATTCACAGCTGGAGCAAAGTAAGGTTTTGTGCCTGGTCTGCCTGACTCCGTGGCCAGTATTCTTTCCAGTTTGAGTGGAAGTGAAGGGGAAGAGAGGACGTAAAGAGGATGAGCTGGCCGCCCTCTACCGGTGGGCCTGAGGTCTCCTGAGGATTGGCAGAGGCGAGTCTTGCTGATAGGCTGTAAGCCCTGAGCCTCGAACCTCGTCAGCCCCTGGGCTCTTGGGATCCCTTCTACCCCCACCACCATCCCCCAGCCCACCTCAAACCTCTTTGGGAAGAAACGGCAGCTTGGGGTGTTGACGTAAGGCAGGGGCTGCAGCCCACCTTTTATCTTACACAGTCACCAAGAGCCAAGCCCATGCCAAAATCCTTCCTGCCAAGGAACCTTAGCTTGTTTTTTATCACCTGTGAACTCACGTCCCACCCAGTTGACCTCTAGAGGAAAAAAGATCCTTAAGGCCAAAAATCTGCCACTCCAGGAAGAGGAAGCCATGTCACCAGTTTCGGTGACCCTGCCTTCCACTCCCAGGAGAGAAGGGCATCAGGATGTGGTTTCCCAGCAGGAAGCAGTGACCTTTAGGTTTGACGTGAGCCATCAAGGGCCGGAATGAATCTGCCTGCTCCAGAAGTCTGCATTCAGAAGCATTCAGCAAGTATTTACCAGCTGCCTCCCGGCACCTGGCCAGGCGTGGGTGGGGTGAAGGTAATGAGATAAGACCCCTACCCTCAAGTTCAGACTCACACCAGCCGAGTTGTTCGACTCTTGCCCTGTGTTGTACAGCAGCCCCTTTCTTCTTGAGATAATAAAGACATCAATCTAGAGACTTCCTACTTGAAGTTGAAACTGCAGTTAAGCTTACAGAGTGCCAAGCATTCATTTAATCCTCTTAGTAAGACTACGAGAAAGATACTGTTATAGTATTCCAAGTGAGGAAACAGTTGCACAGAGCAGTTAAGTAACTGCGAAGGTCACATAACTAATAAGTGGCAGTCAGGATTTGAACCCAGGAAGTCTGGCTACAGAATCCATGCTCTTAATCTGCTGGTTAATAAACCAGGCATCAAGCTTCTATGGAAGAGGCCAGACTGGAGTGAGGGACTTAGCTTCTCAAGCCTCTCTCTGCCTCTGTACACACACTCTGGCTTCAGACCTCCCCAAAAATGATTCAGCAGGCTGAGCCAAAAGTAGCTTCCAGCCTTACCCATCCCAGCTTCTGCCTCCCAGCTCCTCAGAGCCTGCTGTGGAAGCCCACTCCTGCTTCCCACATCTCCAATCACAAAGCCCTCTCATCATTCCTGCCACAGCCTTGCAGACTGGGAGGGATTGGCTGTTTGACAAGTGAGGGAACTGAGGCCCAGAGGTGCTTCTTAATTCTACATCTTCTTTCTCCAAGCTCCAGGGTCTTAGAAAGATGGCTTCCTTTTCCCTGCCTTTACCACTGTGCACTGGGTAACTCATGGCCTGCCTCCTTTTACCTATCAGTTGGAAACACCGCCCTGGATTTGCCCGTCTCATTAGTCATGTCAGTCTATGTGGTCTTGCTGAATACTTCTGAGCTCAGGCTCTGGCCAAGATCCAGTGAAGAGGGAAGCTCACAGTTCTTACATCCCTGCTGTGCGTCCAGTGCTAGACTAAACGTTTCCCCTGCCTTCTCTCCTGTCTTCATAGTAACTCTTTGAGACAGGTGGTATTATTATCCCCACAGACACCTGAGGAGACAGGCCACTAGGGTGGCTCACCCAGGGTCACACAGCTGGTATATGAAAGAGTAGGCTTCAGGGCTGGGCCACCCAAGCTTATAGCTGTTCTATATCCTCCTCCCCACCCCAGGACCAGGCTGGGCCGAGAGGCCTGATATGCTGATCTTGCTCTGAAGGTGATCCAGAAAAGAAAATCTGTTCCCTGCCTAGCCAGGGAGCAGAGTATGCTGCATAATGAGAGAGAGTGCTGTCAGGGTTGAGGCCAAGCCTGCCTGGAGTCAGCGTGAGGGTGCTCCAGTTCTGGAGACTGCAATGCCTCTGGTTGATCAAGCCCAAAATCTCAGGCCTCACAAGTCACAGAGTGGGGCGACCATCAGGTTATCTGACTTAATAGGTCTGGAAGGGAGTCCAGGAATATGCATTCTTGAAAGGGACTCTCATACAGACTGTGCGTGGACCAGACTTTGGAATCCATTGCTCTCCTGAAAACTGCATTTTACATGAAAGTCTGCTTCTGTTTTGTGTTTCTTGGGTGATTACCAAGAGACATTATGGAAGCACTAGGAGTCCAGTGCCCAAGGTTCATGTCTCAGCTCAGATACTGACACCCTGTGTGACCCCGAGCAGTCTCATACTGTCTAAGGGCCTTTGTTTTCATGTGTGTAAAATGGCCACAATAATTCCTATCGGGGCAGCTGTGAGGATGCTGGAGATCACAGCTGCAAATGGGGGCCTCGGGTGGTGTTGGGGCTGTGGTTGCCCACAGGGACTCTGTTTGCCAATCTGCTTTGCCTTCTCTTCCAGCCCCTTCATGAATAAGTTTTTTCCAGCCAATTTCCCAAATCGACAGTACCAGCTGCTCTTCACACAGGGCTCTGGGGAGAACAAAGAAGGTCAGTGCTGCCCACTTTCCCCTGCCTGGGGTGTCTTCCTCCTCCACTCCCCTTTGTCTGTCTGCTGTTGGAGCTCTCTGGTGGAGCAAATGATGGAGAAGGTGGGCTCTGGGGTCACACTGCCTGGGTTCACATCCCAGCTTTGCCACTGCCTGCACAGGGGACTCTGGGTCAGCGCCTTTATCTCTCTGAGCCTTGGGTGTTTTTATTTCGGGGTTTCTTTTTGTTTGGGGTTTTTTTTTTTTTCCATCTGTAAAATGAAAATGATGGTCTAGTACCTCCCTCATAGGCACATTGTCAGAACTGCGAGTAGATGATAAGAAGGAAGCACTCAGCACACTACTTGGCGGTAGTAAACACTCAGTAAAAGTTGGATATTGTAGCTATTTTTATTGTGCTGTTTTTAGTATGATTAGTTTCCCACCTAATATTTGAAAAGAGAGTGCCATGGCTTTTTAAAAAATGAAAACTATGGGGAACTGGGGAAAGCCAGGGCTTTAGGGATTAGTTGGGATATGGATTCAAATGCTGTAACAGGATTGTCAGTGACTTGACCAAATGGAAGGTGTTTCTCATGTAAAAGTCTAAGCTTGTGAATGTCATGCTCTCTTACTGGATTCTAGCACATTCTGCCTTGACCTATGAGAACAATGCTTCCTTTTTGCATCTGTGGTGCATCTGTGCCCAATAAATGATTGTTGAATTTAAAAAAAAAAAAACAGCTGAGCTTGCACCACAGTCTTCAGGTTCCCAGGCTCCATCTGCCTCGTGCTCTGCCACACTTATTGGCCCTTGGGTCTAAGACGGTGTACGGTCACTTCACAGTCCCACCAGACAGGAGAGGCAACTAGATGACGGTCCCATTTAGCTACAAGGGAAGCTGGAAAATGTGGCCATGAGCTAGTTGGCCTCTGTCCAGATAAAAATCATCAGGATGCTATTACCACAGAGGAAAAAAGAGAAACTGGGGCCAACCAGCTGCCTGCTGTACTCTAGAATCCGAAAGAATTGGCTACACTCTGTGTCCCTGGGTGAGCTCCACCACCTCTTATTGGGAAACTTGGAAGTGATAGAGAATGGTTCTGACTTCAGGAGTCCACCGCAGGGCTCTCCACGAGACTCCCTCCTCAGGGGCTCCCTCCTGCTTTTTCTCTAGGCCTCGACCTCTTCTTCCTCCTCTGCTAGTGACAGAGGACTGCCACTAGCAGAAGAGGAAAGAATCACTAGCAGAGGAATCAAGGACCTTCTTGATTCCTTTGGCGGCAAAGTAGAAAGATTCATGAAGGAACTGGGACCTTGCTAAGGACCTGGGCTCAGTGGCAGCTAGCGTTGATCGAGTACCTGCTCTGTGCCAGGCAGTGTACCGAGTGCTTCGTAGGGACCATCTCACTTGCTCCCCACAGCAGCCTGTCAGGGAGGTGCCATGATCCCCATTTTACAGATAAGGAAACTGGAGCTCAGAGGGGGAACTACCTCCCCCAAGGTCACCCCCCTACAAGTGCAGAGCCTTTGCTTCTGGCGCCACCAGTCACCTCCCACTGACCCTGCACCAGGCCCATGTTCTCTCTGAGCCTCCATTCCCTCTAGGAAAGTGGAGGGGCTGGGGGTGGCTCCCGTGAGCACCCCTGGCCTGTGAGCCTCTGACAGTGCCCACAGCCATGCCCTCCTCCGTCCAGGGGCTGACAGGTGGGAGGGGCAGCCCCGCCCCGGGGAGTGGACTTACCCGGCCTCTCTGCCCAGAGATCATCAATTATGAGTTTGACACCAAGGACCTGGTGTGCCTGGGCCTGAGCAGTGTCGTCGGCGTCTGGTACCTGCTAAGGAAGGTGAGTAGCCAGAACCTGGAATGGGGTGGGGACGGGCAAGGGAAGCACCAGAAGGGACAGGGCCGGGGGCATAGCGAACTGGTTTCACTCCCACCTTCCCCCAGCACTGGATTGCCAACAACCTCTTTGGCCTGGCCTTCTCCCTTAACGGAGTGGAGCTCCTGCACCTGAACAACGTCAGCACGGGGTGCATCCTGCTGGGCGGCCTCTTCATCTACGATGTCTTCTGGGTGAGTCTCTTCCTGCTCCCACCTCTCTGGCTCAGGTAGCAGTCATCTGAGGGAGGGCAGCAGCCATGGCCTGGAAGTCAAGGACCCAGGGCAGGTCCTCTCTGGGCTCAGTTGCCCTCATGAAATGGAAAAGACAGCAGATTCCCCCCGGTGCCTTCCGCCACCCTCCTCTCTTTCTCACAGTGGCCCTGGCAGCGGTGTTACTTAATCTCATGTCTACCCAGCAAGCAAGTGGAGACTCAAGAGAAGTTCAGGCCCAGCGCAGGCACTAAGCTGTGAGGACAGAGTCTGCTGTTGACAGGACACTGTGGCTGCACACAGCCTGGGCGACGGGACCTGCAACACTCACGCCGAGAGGCACCTCAGTCAGCCTGACTCAGGCACCCTTTCCCTGGCCTTGGCACCCTCTTCTCCCCTAAAGTAGGTGGTGCTGGAGGACTTTCCCTCTTGGGAGAGGCAGAGCCCTGGATGAACAGGATGCCTGGCCGGGGCCATCAGAGGCCCTCTTCCGACTCCTTCGGATTGCCCCTCTTTGTTGCCCAGGACCAGAGACCCGTGAAGTGCCTGTATGACCGGTATTGCTGGCCACCTACTCTCAACTTCACGTCAGCTCCAGAGCCCCTCCCAGCTCCCTGCCCCACTCCCTGCCCCACTCCCTGCATATCTCAGGCAGCAGCATGTTGAGGAGCCTGAAGACAGCCATCCTGTCCCATCCAGCCCTCACCTCCCTCCAGACTCTTCTCTTCTTCTTCTAGGTATTTGGCACCAACGTGATGGTGACAGTGGCCAGGTCCTTTGAGGCACCAATAAAATGTAAGTGACCACCCCTGCATCAGGAGCCCCTCTGCCCCGACCCCAGTGGCCCTTCTCCTAGTCGTCCCTGTTTTAGTCATACCTGTTCCTTTGCTCTTCACCACGTACCTTATCTTCCAAGTGTCCGTGTCTCCGGCCTTGTTTCCTTCTCCTCATTGAATCTTCAAGCTCCATTCACACACAGCCACTCTGCTCAGGCCCTGGCCTCCAGCCACCTGGTCACAGTGCAGTGTGCTGTGAGGTGAGCTGGAATGGGAGCAGGCACAGAGAGGGGGTGTCTAACGCACCTGTGGCAGGGCACACAGGGGTACCCCAGAAGAGGAGACCTGATATGGCCTTCACTGGCTCCCTTGAGTGCCTAGCTAGCAGGTACTGTCTGCCCATGCCTCTTACCCTTCCCTGGTTCTCTTCTTCAGTACATCCATCATTTATGAATATTAGGAAATCCAACTACAAGCATCTTTAAACAACTTGGAAATTTTGTCATCACACGCTATAGCAAACCCAGTGCTAGAATGTCTCGGGTTTGGGTTAATGACCCATGGTGAGTTGCCAAGAGCCAAGGCAGCGTCGTTCCTCCCACCCCACCATTCTCAGCATGCCCTCCTGTCCCTTAAGCTCATCCTACTGTGGTCCCAAAATGGCTGCCACAGTCCCCAGCGCTGACTCCTCACAGCCACATTCAGACACAGAAAGGGGGAGAACTTTGTCTCTCTTTCCGTAGATCTCCCCTGCAGCCTCCCTTATATTTCACAGGCCAGAAATGGGTCACAGGCCCAAGCCCAAACCAGTCATCATCAGGAGGGATGGGAAAAACATGATTAGCTTAGAGTTTAAGCCTCAGACTGCTCAAGAGTCGCCCCTGGGACCAGGACACCCATAGAGGAGGACAGACTCAATCAGACATGACAGCAAGGATGAAGGGGAGGCTCTTGTGGGGAAAGTATCAACAGTGAGTGAGCTCCATGCAAAGCACTGGCTCACAGCATCGGACAGTTGGGGTGAAGTTGGCCTCAGAGACTCAATTAATAACTCTCGCAGTCTCATCCTCCACTGCTACAGATGAGTGTTCTCCATGAAGGAGGAGGGCCTCATGGCCACACACTGCCACTAAATGCTGTGACCCTGGCCCAGTAACCCCAGAGGAGAACAAGTTTTTCCCAACTTTGGTCTGAATAAATATATGGGGCCTGGCCTGGCCCATGAGGCAGGTACTCCCACCAGAGAGATAGAGGATCGGGATGGACAGGCCGGGGCCACTGACCTCTCCAGTGCCTGGGGGCACAGTATTTGTATCGGCAGCCCCCCAGAACCAAGGATGTCAGATGAGGGCAGTTCTCCAGAGTAAGAAGCCAGATGCTGGGTAAACCCAGCCAAAGTGTCAGGAAAAGCTTTCCTGGGTCATGAAGGATGAATACTCATTTACCAACCATGCAGAGTCAGTGTGGACATTAGAAAAGGCCACACATAGCTTCAGCAAAGGGCTGGAGGCAGGAAAATGCATGGAAGGCCCTGGGAGCAGAGACTTGGGAGGAAATGTGGCTGAGTATAGGGGAGCAGCAGGAAAAGTCAGATTTGGGAAGCCAAGGATGTCATGCCAGGGAGCTTGGACACTGCCCAGTAGACAGTGACGAGCCATTGGAAGGCTCTGAACAGGGAAATGACTCAATCATATTTGGTTTCTGGTGCTCAGAATCTGGTTCTCTGGCTAGAGGAGGCCAGTTGCTAGGAGCGGAGCTCAGAGGCAGTATAGCAGAGTGGTTAAGTACACATATGCTCAAGGCAAGCATCCTGGATTTGAATCCTCGACTTGACACTTGCTGGCAGTGTGGCCTTAAGGAAGAGACTTCTCTCTGGGCCCTGGTTTCTACATCTGCCACTCAGATTTGAATGTTACCAAGACTGAGGATTGAAGGAAGAGATCTGTAAGTTATTGTGACTGCATTCAAGGCAGGAAAAAGCAAACAAGGAAAGGCATCTGTACATTTATTAGGGAAGCACAAGCTTCCCCACAACCCCCAGCTGCCTCTGCTTACAGACCATCGGCCAGCGCTGGGTCACGTTACCACCGTGAGCAGCAAGAGGTAGCAGTTAACAATGTGCAAATCACCTAATTTTTACCACAACCCTGTAGACTTAGTTCTATTCTTATACACAAGTAAGAAAACTAATGCACAGAGCAGTTAAGTAATCTGTGCAAAGTCACACAGCAGAGTCAGGGTTCAGACCCATGCAGTCTGACCCTGAAGCCCTCACCTAACTGCTCTTCTATTTGCAAGGCCCTAAGGGTGAAATCCAGTCACAGCTGCCTCTTGCCATAACTGGACACAAGGAGGCATTTCTCTCAATCTGTATTTATCCAAACGAGCTGGCCAGATTCCTAATGAGGGGCTTTAAGGAAGGAACTTGAAGATGTGTGGCCTTTTCTCCCTCAGCAGATAGAATCCATAGCCCAGGCTCCCCCTGTTTTCAGAACAAGGGCCCCCACTATTCTTACCCCATGGTAGTGAAAGGGAAAGCCTGTTAGATCTCAGCACTGCGTGGGCTCCTTAAACCCTTTTATCTACTTGGCTTTAGGGCCGATCCCATCTAACCAGTGTTCCACAGCATAAAGGCATTGAAATTGTATGGTATGTGTTATAGCTCAAGAAAGGCATTAAGCCTTTGACCTAGATGATTCTAGAGTCTTCCGCACTCTAACCAGCTGTGATTCCAGTTGGAGACATTGCCCTTCAGTCTGTCAACATTCTCTCACCTCCTTGTCCCAGCCCCCACCCAGAAATTCAGGAGTGTGAGTTTCCTACAACAGAGGTGGGGGGCTAGGAATCAAAGTGAGCTGGGCTCTCACCAACTCCTTGCCTCCCTGCCTCCCCCGGCAGTGGTATTTCCCCAGGATCTGCTGGAGAAGGGCCTCGAAGCAGACAACTTTGCCATGCTGGGACTTGGCGACATCGTCATTCCAGGTGACCGGGCCGGGGTGGGAGAAGGATTCCTCAGATCAAGGAGTACCATGAAACAGACAGCCTTGCCCAGTGGGAAAGAAAAGGTGATGCCGCACTCCCACCCCAGGGTCAGCCTAGGGTTTGGTGAAAGAGTCCACCTCAGTAAACATTATAGAATGCCAGTCGTGTGCCAGGCCCTGACCCCAGTGAGGAAGGGTGTCCTCACGGAGCTCCTGGTCTGGGTGAACAGACATTACTCAAGAATTACAAAAATGAATATATATAACAGACTGAAATTCACTCTGTGATAAAGCACATTTCATGACAGTCTTAAAGGAACTTGACCCCTTTTACACACTTACACGTGTGCACTCCCTTTGCCAATGTTTGCAAGTATCATGCTAGAACTACCAGAGTCCCGTTGGTCCTCCTCTCCCAGTGCTGGGAGGGCTCAGGGGAGAACATGCCTATGCGTGTAGATGTGGGATCACCATGGGTCCACATGGGCTCCTGTGTCTGCGCTCTTGGCAGAAGGACATGGCATGCACCTGCTTCTCTGCACAACCTAGCCTTTGACCCATTATCTACATGTGGGTGCTAGTGAGGGCACCTATGGATGTGGACACAGGTGCCCCCGTCTGCAGGCCTGGTTGTGGGCACATATCCCTGGGGGCTGTGTTCTTGCCTCACCTGGGAGCACCAGCAGCCCAAAAGCCCAGTCAAGAGACTAAGGGCAAAGCCAAGCTGCCACTCTAAGGGCAGCTGCAGGGGCTGCGGCCTGGATGTGTGTGTCTACAGATCTGGGCCTGGTGACGGGGCAGTGAACATCCAAAGAGTATACTTGTTCCCCTAGTCCCAGAGGATTAGAAGCACCCCAGTGGCTGCTTAAAAGAAGAAAGTTTGGAACAAATGAAAAGCCAGTTTCTTTCCACTGTGGGAAATTAATAGCAGGTCTAGTAACCTGGAATGGTACAGGCATTTCTGTTGTGATACTTATATTTTGTGATATGTGTGGTAGTGAACCAGAGGCTTCCTCTCTTATACAAATGAGGAAACAGGCTTAAGCGAAGGGGCTCTCCTAATTTCTCACACGGATAAGGAACAGGGCCTGGACCCAGACCAAGTCTGTCTATCAAAAGAGGTTATACTGTCAACTGCTCTATAGTCATCACAACAGTAAGATAATCACAATAGCTGCCATTTGTCAAGCACCTGTTTGTGTGCCAGTCACTGTGCTTGGTACTCTTCATACATTGTCTCTGCTACTCCTAGCACCCATGAAGTCATTTCCATTTTACAAAGGAAACTGAGGTTCAAAGAGACTTGCTACAGCCTTAGGGACACGGATATGATCTTAAAACCAGGTGTTTCCATACTTGCAATGCTGTGAGGCAGGGAGACATTCTTCCCCAGGAAGAGGCAGCTCCAGAAGACAAAAGAAACAGAGTCCCATAAAGCATTCAGCTCACTCGGAAGCCTGGTCTGTCACAGGTAACCACACAGACTTCCCTAGTATCCCTGTTAGTCATACATAGCTCTGGGCTTGAGGCCTGCATGGGACATCTCTGCATATCTGTATATACCCACATATAGCTAAGTCTTTCCAGCAGTCGCAATAAATGTAAGTCAATTGCACCCTCGTAGAGCCTCGGGGACATTCTTCAAAGAAGAATGGTTTGCTGTGTAGGACATTGTTTTGAGGACTGGATGCGTTATGAGGAGTGAAAGCTCTTGGCAGAGCTCTGACCCTTTAATCCATTGGAGAACAGTTGCAGAATTCAGCCACCAGGGGGCACTAGGTTCCCAGAAAGGCAGCATTTGTCTGCTGTCTCCATCTACCAACCCGCTACTCACACACAGTCTACAGTGAGGACTAATTCATTTCCCTCTTTAAATGTAAGCATGCAGCACAGAATGTTTGGTTCCTTTAGCATTTTAATTTATTTTATTTTATTTTATTTTTAGTTTCGAGTATACAGTACATTGATTAGACATTCATAATGCAGTTTATAAAATGATCCTCCCAATTACTCTGTCACCCCTTTGGCTCTACACCTAACCATTGCATTACTGCTGACTGCATTCCCTGTGCTGTACTCCCCATGTCTGTGACCATCTATCAACTGCTAATTTGTATTTCTTTAGCCCTTCACCCCTTTCTCCCAGCCCGCTAACTCCCCTCTGGCCCTCACCAGATTGTCCTCTGTATTTGTGAGTCTGTCTTCCATTTGTTTGTTCTTTTTCTTCCTTATATTCTACATAAAAGTGAAATTATATGGTATTTTCTCTGTGTGACTTATTTCACTCAGCATAATAACCTCTAGGTCCATCCATGTCATTGCAAATGGTAAAATTTCATTTTGTTTTATGGCTAAGTAACATTCCATTGTATATCTGAACCATAACTTCTTTATCCGTCTGCTGTTGGGCACTTAGGTTGCTTCCATATCTTGGCTATTGTGAGTAGCTCTGCCATGAACATAGAGATGCATGGATCTTTACAAATTATTGTTTTGTTTTTCTTTGGAGCAGGGTAATGAAGTGCAATTGCTGGGTCATAAGGTAGATCGATCCATTTTTAACTTTTTGAGGAACCTCCAGACTATTTTCCGTAGGGGCTATACCAATTTGTAATCCTACCAACAGTGTATGAGGGTTCCCTTTTCTCCACATCTTTGCCAATACCTGTTTTTTGATTTATTGATGATAGCCATTCCAACAGGTGTGAGGTGATATCTCATTGTGGTTTTAATTTGCATTTCTCTGATGGTTAGTGACCTTAAGCATCTTTTCATATATCTGTTGGTCATCTGAATTTCCTCTTTGGAGAAATATCTATTCAGGTCTTCTGCCCATTTTTTAATTGAATTTTTGGGGTTTTTTGTTGTTGAGGTGTATGAGTTCTTTATATTTTGAATATTAACCCCTTATCAGATGACTCATAAGTGAATATCTTCTCCCCATTCAGTAGGTTGTCTTGATGGTTTCCTTTGCTGCGCAGAAACTTTTTAGTTTAATGTAATCCCATTTATTTTTTTCTTTTGTTTCTCTTGCCCAAGGAGATATATCCAAAATTACTAATAGCAGTATCAGAGAGTTTACTGCCTATGTTTTTTTCTAGAAGTTTTATCGTTTCGGGTCTTACATTTAAGTCTTTAATCCATTTCTAGTCTGTTCTTGTATGTGGTATAAGAAGGTGGTCTAGTTTCATTTTTTTGCCTGCATCTATCTAATTTTCCCAGCACCATTTATTAAAGACATTGTCTTTACCCCATTGTATATTCTTGTCTCCTTTGTCATATATTAAATGAACATATAGACATGGATTTATTTCTAGGCTCTCTGTTCTGTTCCATTGGTCGATGTATTTGTTTTTCTGCCAGTACCATGTTGTTTTGATTAGTGTAACTTTCTAGTATAGTTTGATATCAGGGAGTGTGATACCTCCAGCTTTGTTCTTTCTCAAGATTGCTGTGGCTATTCAGGATCTTTTATGGTTCCATATAAATTTTAGGATTATTTGTTCTAGTTCTCTGAAAAATGCCATGCAGAATGTTTTGGTTCCTGAGAGCCTCCTCTCAACCAAATGAGATTCAGCTGTTGTCCTGTCTGAGTCCAAAGACCAGTCAGTCAAGAAGACAGATGCAGATGGGAATGATGTGTGCAGTGTACAGAGGTTGGAGACTGTCTTGAGGACTCTCAGGCTTCTTGGGTGCCTGGGCTGGGGTTTGACTTGCAAATAGCAGTCCAGTGGGTAGACAGAGTTAACCACCGTCTCCTGAGCTCCCACAAAGCTTCCTAATGGTCTGCTTACTCCTACTTTCTCCCTGCAGCCGCCACAGGTGTCTTTTTCAAGATCTGTTTAGGTTATTCTCCCACTTAGAACTCTTCCAGTGTGTCCCCTTAGGATAGAGACCCAGCTCCTCCTCGATCCCATGGACCCTACATAGCTGGTCCATCCCCTGGATCTCCTGTTCTGCGCTGCAACCATACGGGCATTTTGACCCCTGGCATACCCCCTGTGCCTTCTTTACTCAGGATCTTTGCACAAGCTGTTCCCTCTCCCTAGCAAGTGTCACTTCTTCAAAGAAGCCCTCCTTCATCCTCCTCCATTCTCCAGCCTGGGTCTCATCCCATAACACCTTTCTACACAGGAAGCATCCTCTCACAGTTATCTTAAACTGACTTTGGTTACTGTTTGAGCAGCATGTATACCCCTTGTCCCCATGGCTGAGCTTGTGAAAGCAGTGGTTTTGCTTACCCTTATACTGCCTATGGTACCTGGTATTTAGCAGCCCTCGATAAACATTTGGGTAGATGGAGCCACTGTGACGTATGGTGCTCTGAGGTGCCTGGTCAATGTGGTCACAGGCCAAAGCAAAATCCTGGGACCTTCTCATTGTTCTAGACTGCCTGATAGTAGGGAAACAGGATTTCTACTGGCAGTTGGCAGCATGGCCACACCCTTCGCCCTGATGATTGCTCCGTGACTGAGAACACCAGATTGGGGGACCCAACTGCATGTTAGTTCAACCTGGCTCCTCTCCAACCCAGGCAAGGGGCTCCGTCTCCTGAGGCGCTGGCTTCCCTGCCACTGTCTAACCCTGGCTTTCTCCCCCACAGGGATCTTCATCGCCTTGCTGCTGCGTTTTGACATCAGGTGAGCTACTTAGGACCCCTAACTCTCAGGCCTCACAAGTGAGGGGCCTTCCCCAGGTGAGGGTTCTCCAGTGGTTTTCTGGAGCCCAGAGGAGATAACTAGGGGACCAGATCCTCCACCTCCACAGCAACCAGAGAAATTCTGATTATATCTGCATTTTGCATTTTGATGTTCTAAGTGTTCAAAGAGCCTGTGGCCAAAAAATAAGAACCACAGGCCAAGCAGTTTAAACCCCGAAGGTCCATAGTGCGTTCTCCCTGTGTGACCTTGGCAAGTGCACCTGACCTTCTGAGCTAAAGTTTCTCATCCTTATGTTAGTAGTAAACAAGAGTTCCTATTTCAGGATTATCAAGCAAGTCTGGAGAGTGCTGAGCACAGGCCGACCTCAGTAGCTCTCAGGAAAACCCAGCTGCAGTCTCCTCATTATCATTTTTATCAGCTTGGGATCGGGTCACCGAGTCCCAGTTGCTCTAGCTATTCTGCCCTCTCTTTACTCAGACTTTTTTTTAAGTCCATTGTAGAAAGTGAGCACAAGAGAAAGAGAAGGGGCCAGCTTGGGTTACCACTTAAAACACAAGAAAGGTCTTGCTTGAGTTAATGCACCTGAGCAACTGGAGCTGCCACCAGTAGGTGGCGCTCAGTCATTCCAGTAGAGGGCTTGCTGTGTGTGCACTTAATTTTGAGGTAGTTTATGAATTTTTCTTCATTCCTCATGCCCAGTAATTGCAAAGGCAGTAATAATGTTGACAGTGGTATTGAGAAACTCAATACCATAGTCATTGAAATCCAGTTTGCGTGTAAAACTTAACTTTTCCCCACTCACATACATCTGGGTTATTTGTTTCCTACCCCTCTGGACCTCTGGAACACACAGGCTTACAGACAGCCTTTGGAGGGGACCTGGCTAGTTTGTGAGTAGAGGCACGTCTGTGCCAGCTGGCTCTGTGCTCCTGGCTGTTCAGGGGTGATACAGTGAGAAACCCACAAGAGTCCCTGGGCCATTTGCTGGAAACACAGATTCAGCTGCCTCAGAGGCAGAATCTCATTCCTCCCCTGAACTTGCAGGATAAGCAAGCCCTTTGGAGCTGGTTCCAGAGTCTGTGCAACATTCCCAAAGGCAGCCAGTTGTACCCCAGGCTTCACAACAGGATAACTCTTAACGTACTTGCAGCTCAAGGCCTACAAGCAGCCAGGGCAAGAAGGGAAGGCTGTCAGAAGTACTCGTTCATTCTACAGATGTCACTGGGCCCTGTCCCAAGTACTGGGGGCACACAGAGGTCATGAGCCGGTGCTGTAAAGAGAAATCATGTAATGGCAATGCCAGGCTGCATATGATTTAGCTGTTCTAGGGCTGATCTTGGATGAATTGTCTCAAGGAAGTCACTGGCATCTTATCCACACAGTCTGCATCTGTTTAGTATTCACAACCAGTTACCGAACTGTGACATGCACTACACTTAAAAGTAATGACTTAGCTTTTGAGTTTCTATATCGGTGTTTCTCAAAGCATGATCTGCCTGTATCAGATTCACTTGGATTTTTCAAAATTCAGGTTCCCAGACCTATTAACTCAGACTCCCTAGAAATTGGCCCTAGAATTCTATTTTTTTTACAAGCTTTCCTGGTGATTTCTATGCTGGCTAAAGTCTTACAGCCACTGTTCTAGGTTTATAGTGCTTGATATTCATGACCACCAGGAAATGGCTTGTGGTTTCCCCATTTTGCAGATGAGTAAACCAAGGGTGAGATAAGGAAAGTGACTGGTCCAAAGACACAAAGACTCTGGGCCATACCAGAGTGCACGCCCACCTCCAGGTTCCCAGCCCAGAGCTCTCAGGCACTCCACAGCCTCCAGGGTCTTCCCAGCTCCTCCCTCAGAAGGGATGCCTGCATCTAACCTTCCTCCTCTTTCTCCCTACTCCTTCCTGAAGCTTGAAGAAGAACACTCACACCTACTTCTACACCAGCTTTGCAGCCTACATTTTTGGCCTGGGCCTTACCATCTTCATCATGCACATCTTCAAGCACGCCCAGGTGAGCGCTCAGTGTATCACGAATGCTTTCAGTGCAAGTAACAGACATCATAGGGTGTATTTGTCATATACAGAGGTAGGCACTACCCAGTGGTGTCAGAGCAAACCCATCTGTGATTCTGTCAGCCTTTTACTCGTGGCGGCTGCAAGGCAACTATTTCTGCTTCAGGCAGCACACACACGTTAGTGGTGAGAAGAAGGAGGGAAAAGGACCACAGCCATGCCTGTTGCCTTCATCAGGAGGGCGAAACCTTCCCCAGAATCTTCTCAGCAAATTTTCGCCTGTATCTCATGGGCCCAGATCAATGTCACATGGCCCTAGCTACATGGAATCTAGGAAAGAGAGGATGTGGCTTGTCAGCCTTGGTATTCAGGGAGACAGAAGAACGGGATTGGGGTGCGTGGTGGATGTTTCAGCCAATGCCTGCCCCACCACATGAGTGATAGGTGCACAGCCCCCACTCTTCAAGCAGGCTCTGCCTCCTCCCACCAGGATGGGAACTGAGCTGCGACAGAGTGAACCAGGATGGGGTGGGGGCTGAGAGCTGTTGTCACTGGCCTGAAGAGGAGAAGTCTGGGAGGGCAAAGCGAGCAGACAGGATTACTCTCTACTGGAAATGAGAACACTTCCCATGAGCCAGGCTTTGCTCAGTACTTCATGAGGGTCGTTGTGAACAGACGAGGAAACTGGAGTTTAGGTGCCACATGGTAAGGGTGTGGTAGAGCTGAGGTTCATACCTATGTCATATGAAAACCAAGCCCAGGCTCTGAATCTGTGGCCCTGGAAAAAGCAGTGGAGAGTGGAGACTCGAGAAGCCCCCGTGGGAATCCAGACCTCACTGTCTGCTAACTGTGAGCCTCTGGGCAGGTTGCTGAAGTTACACTTGATTTTCCTCATTGAACAAAAGTAGAAAATGAGGGTAAATAATAGTAGTCACCTTGGAGTCACTTGAAGATGAAATGAGCAAATATAAGTAACGCTCTTAGAACCATACTGGCCCAAGTAGTATTAGCTGTCATTATTGTTGCTGTTTCTCCTCCTCTCCACCCTCCCCAGGACACCAGCCACAGAGGAGCCACCTTCTGATCACAAGAGCTGTTTATTGAGCAGTTACACTGTGCCAGGCACTGTGCTAAACCCTTTTGTTCATTATCTCATTTAGTCTTTACAATGTTTACGTCTCTATAGTATCTATGAAGTAGATATTAGTAGTGTTTTTATTTTACAAAAGGTCAGCAGTCCCCTAGCCCATGAGTAGGGAAACCAAGAACCAATAGGGAGATACCTCTCATTCTCTTCTGCTCCAAATGGCCTCAGGGTCTCTGCAAACTGAGTGTCAAGGTCTCAGAGAGTAATTAGACCTGGATTGGGGGACAAGCTTAAACTCCTCTTGGAGGTCCCCAGTTCTCAGCCCCCGTTAGATTCCAAGCCCAGAGCCATTTCCCCTGCAGCCACCAGGTAGCAGGCTTGTCTTCTGCCTCGGCTAGACTCAACAGAGGACCCCATTGAGAGCCCTCTCACACAGCTGGACAGAGGCAAGAGAGGTGGTCCTCTGTTTGTGGGGCACACTGTAGCCCAGATAGAAAAGGAGACTTCGCTGGGTCACACAGTAAGTCAAGCTAGGTCCCCACTGGAGCCCTGGACTTCTGGCCCCAGGCTTCTGCTACTTTCCAGCAGCAGCCCCACCATTCACCCCAGTCATCCACGTGAGCATCTCCCTGAAAAGCTTGGGAAGGGGATCCTGGACACAAGGGGAACCTGTTCTATAAGGTCCCTCTCCCTCTCCAAGACACAGGCAGTCCCAGCACCAGCATTCCCTAGATAGGGGTCTCCTCTGCCTCACTTAGCCTCTCAAAAAAAAAAATACTCCTGTCAACAGCCGTGCCACCCTGATCTCATCTGATCTCGAAAGCTAAGCAGGGTCGGGCCTGGTTAGTACTTGGATGGGAGACCACCTAGGAAGACCAAGTGCTGTGGGCATAAAAAAATAAAAAACAAGGGATTATAAGCTGACAAGTTCCTTGCAATCTGTGAGATCAACCAAGGGTTGCCTCACCTAAAAAAGAAAAAGGCCCTTAAAGATGATGTGGTGTCCTCATTGTACAGAGAAAGAGGAAAGCAGTTTTGCCGTGGTCACACAGCAAAGCCAAGTCACGATGGAAAGCCAGGCGTCCTGACCCCAAGTTCACCGCTCTGAGCTGTACATCCCAGCCTCTCTTTAGCACTGACTTTCTTTGGAGAGGGTCCCTTGTGCCTTGAGAGGAAAGAAAATAATAGGTTTGTGTCCTCCTGATAATCACAAACTCACTGCCTCCCAAGGGAGCCCTTCTCATCAGCTCCAGTACTGCTTTGGTGGCCTCTCACAGGTTTTGGTATGGACCTTTGTCATTGTGGTTTCTATTATGGCCTGAAGCCTAGCTCATACCAAAGACCTGATGGAGTGAGGGAAGCTCAGCTGCCCAGGTCCAAATCCAAGTTCAGCCACTTACAGACACCCTGTGCAACCTTGCACAAGTCATTGCCCCCTGTCTGAACTGAACTTCAGTAGCATCATTTGTAAAACTCAGATCTTAATATTTACATTAGATTGTAAATTAGATTTAAGGATAATGTAATATGAAATAGTATGTTTCACAGCCCACCCATGGCAAGTACTGAAAAATGATGTGAAGGTCAGGCTCAGGAGGCCATAGAGTCCTGTTCCCTGGCTAGGGACTGGCTTCGCCTCAAGTGGTGTCTCCTCACCCTCTCCCCTACCCAGTCATCTTCAAGACACCCTCTTAACTCTGCAAGCACCCATGAAGACGCCATTTGCTTAGTATTTGCCAGGCCCTTTTCTGAGTGCCAGGAATCTACCTGTGCAGTTCCCAGCCCAGCAGGGGAGAAACTTCAGTCCGTAATACAGGGATGTTCCATTCCAAATTGCCAAAGTGCTCTGAAGACTTGCCGGGGGCCCTGAGAGCGTGGAGCAGGAGAGCCTGACTCCACGCATGAGAAGGCTTTCTCGTGGAAGTACCAGCTGAGCTGAGGTCTGAAGAAGGGATCCGGGCAAAGGTGCATCCCAGGCAGCAGCAACTGCATATGCAAAGGTCCTGAGGCTAGAGGTGACAGTGTGGACCAAAATGAAGCCAGTGTGGCTGGAGTAGGGCAGGTCACGTGAAGGTGGAGAAGGAAGCAAGGGTTACATCTCAAGGGGACTGCAGGGCACTGGGGGCTATGGAGGGTCAAACAGTAGAGTCACATTCAACTTTCAGTTACTGCAAGGAAAAGAATGGCTTTGTGTCTGGTATGGCTGAGGTTCAATCCCCAGATTACCATTTAGACCTCTGAGGCCTGGGCTGTCCCTCTCCAAAAGCATCAGCCTTCTGTTTACAAGGAGGGCAGTCATAAGGGATGTGGAGATGGACTGAAACACCCGCTGGGAGGCCTGAGCTCAGTGCACACAGTAGGTGCATTGTGAACAAGGGCTGTTAGTATAATTGTCCTGTCCTCCAAACTCAGCGTCACCTGGAGTCTCAGCACAGGCTCTGGGCCCAGTCCACATGGGTGTGAATCCCAGCAGAGCCAGCAACCAGCTGGGAGATCTCAGTATAGGCCACAGCAAGTGCTCCACACACAGCAGCCATGTCATCATCATCATCATATTATTATTATCATAGTATCTTCTGGAGCATTTGTTAAAAATGCAAACTTCCATCCTCAGGCCTCAGGAAGCAGGGTTTCTGGGAATAAAACCAACCCAGGTCACATGTTTGAATCCAATATCTCGGGTGATTGGGACACTGCCAGCCAGGCTCCTGGGCACCCTTAAAGCACCGCAAACTTGAGTTTCTTTGGGTTTCTTGCCTTCCCTCCCAGGGAAGAGCAGCTTTGGTCTGGGAGTCGGGAGCCCCGGGTTCAAGCCCAGCCACTGACTCGTGGTTGCCCTGCCCAGCATCACCTCACCACCCTGTGTCCTCTTACAGCCTGCCCTCCTATACCTGGTCCCCGCCTGTATTGGCTTTCCCGTCCTGGTGGCACTGGCCAAGGGAGAAGTGACAGAGATGTTCAGGTAAGAGGGGGTGGGGGCAGATGCTTGCATGACACAGGTACACCCGCAGGCAGCTGGTGGAGCCTGCCGGGGCTGTTCGTACAGGTCTCCAGAGGAACATTTTCCCACCACCAGCCCCACCTCTCACCCTTTCCACTAGCCAATGTGGTGAACTGCAGGGAGCCAGTGGAGGACAAGACCTCGAGGCTCTCTAAGCAGCCCCCACAGCCAGAGAGAGGCCAGCTGGTCTTCAGAAGGGACTGACATAGAATTTCCCCCCTCGAGGCCCTACTGTCAGGACTCCTAGGTTCCTACCCAGGCGTGCCACTTTGTGACTCTAGGCATCTCCTTCCTCTCCCCTAACCTCAGTTTTCACATGGGAGTATTATGGGGGGACTCCAGTGTGGAAGAAAGTGCCCCAGTTTAGAAGTCAAGTGTCAGTCCCCTGTTCAGCCGCCTCTACGGTTGTAACCCACAGCTAGCTGGCTTCTTAGTCTCATACCCCTTCCCAGTGGCCATGTTCACAGAGCCACACCCTGTGCACGGCTCCACCCATACCCCAAGGCCTGCGTGACTCTGACAGGTGTCTGCTCTGCAGCACCACCAACCCCGCCTGCCACGGGCCCAGAAATAGCTGCCAGCTGCGATTGAAACTGCCCACTCAGGGGCCTTCCACCCAGCTCTACCTGCCTTGCCTTCAAGTTGTCCCTCGAGCACCTGCCAGGGCCTTCTGTGCACCTGGCTGCCCGCAGGGGAACCGGTGAATCACCCCTCCCCCCTCCCCCGTACCTGCCCTGCCTAGAAGCCCCAGGCTCCCAGCCTGCCTGTCCTTATCCCCTGGCCTGGCAAGCTCTGTGGACTCTAATAAGACAAGTCTTGGGGTGAATTTGGCAGATTTGGGGGTGCTTTGGGGGCAGGGGTGGGTCCTGATCCCTGAGCTCAGCACCTAGCTTCACTGGTTGGCTCTCATTCAGTCTCAGCCCCACTCTACCCCTTGAGGTAACTTCCCCTGTCCCAGTCCTGTTGTGTCCTCATGGGGTCAAATTCTGAACACCCCCAGCCAGAACAGAGGGTGCCCCCTTCACCCATTGGTGCTTGGTTTCTCTAAATGTTTGGCCACATAGGCACTTTGCCCCATCTTTTCATCCCCACTCAGGAGGTTCTTATGTTGAGGTGAAAAAACACATAGTGTCTCTCTCTTTCTGTCCATCTCGCTCCCTAATTCTCCACCTTATCCTTTGTTCTACTTTTCCCTTTATCGGCACGCCCCCTTTTTTTAAATTCATTTATTTATTTTCAAATAGGTAAAATTTCATAGCTCTGAGAGGGACAGTACCCTCAGTGTTCCAGCCACCCCACAGAGGCCAGTTCAGTCACAATGTCTCTCCATTCAGAGACATCTTTGCACCTAAGAGCAAACGTATGGATACATACTCTTGCACAGATGATGGCATTCTTGGAGCATTCTGCATCTTGATTTTTCACACAATAATATATTTGAGAGATATTTCCACAGCAGCCCACAAATGTCTAGCAAATCCTGTGCTTTTGCGCAGCTGCCTAGAGTCCCCTTGTATAGGTGCATCATTTCTTTTTTATTCTCCAAATAATACCAGCTTCTTTCCAGAGAGCCTAAAAGTACAGAGAAATAAAAGTAAGACGGTTCCACTCCCTGTTCCTGGGAAGAGAAGTCTGTCCTCCTTTAGCCTTTTCCTCGCCATTTCTTTTTCTCTGTCTTTCTGTCTGTCTCTCACACAGCTACGAGTCCTCGGCGGAAATCCTGCCTCATACCCCGAGGCTCACCCACTTCCCCACGGTCTCGGGCTCCCCAGCCAGCCTGGCCGACTCCATGCAGCAGAAGCTAGCTGGCCCTCGCCGCCGGCGCCCGCAGAATCCCAGCGCCATGTAATGCCCAGCGGGTACTCACCTGCCCGCTTCCCCCCACTGCCCCGAGGCCAAAGGTAGGGCAGACACCCCAGCTCCACTGTACGGGTCAGGTAGCATTGCTAGGCTCCGGTGGCAAGAGGCAGCTCCTCTACAGCCATCAGGCAGTCACTGCATGGGGCCAGGAAGCGAGGCAAACCCAAACCTCAGTGTTCTGACCAATAATGTGGGCCTCTTGTGATGTCAAGGAATGTCAGCAACCCTTGTCATGCAGTAGTAGATAATGTTACTACTTGCTGTACATATATAACCCTGGGCAAGTCACTTTCTTCTTTCGGAGTCTCTCTTTCTTCATCTGTAAGTGGGCACATTCCTGCCTCACGGGGCTGATCTGGTGAGGAAATGTGGGTAATGTCCTTAGCATGAACTCAGTTGCTCAATAAGTGGAGCCCATAATAAGCGCTTAAGCCAGGGTGTCCGCCTTTGAGAGTGGCACCTTGCCACTTGCCAGTAGAGCATCCCCCCTCCCCCCGCACCCCTGCACCCGCCCGCAGCCCTAGGATTGAGCTGTTTGACTCCTGCCATGTGCCCTGGGAAGCCACACATCTCCTGTAGCCTTGTCCTGGCTACCCCTTCGTTTCCCCAGTGTCTCCAGCAAAAGGTTCAGGAAGCTTGAAGTTGGTCCGCCCAAGCCCAACCTCTCCTCCATTTGCCACTGCCTTTGCCACCTCTTGGTACCACAAGGCACAGGGAAAGCAGAGCCGCCTGTCTGAGGAGGGCACACAGTGGGGCGTGGCCACACACTGGAGGATGCTGGGAGTGGATGCGGGGCTGATGTCCCTCGTGAGCCCAGGGGTTTTCCTGGGATGGTGGATGGTGGGCACCAAGATTCTGCTCTCCCTCTCCTCTAAATATGTTTTATTTATTGTTTGGTTTTTTGGTCAGTTATGAGGAGTCAAATCCTAAGGATCCAGCAGCCGCGACAGAATCCAAAGAGGGAACAGAGGCCTCAACATCAAAGGGGCTGGAGAAGAAGGAGAAATGATGCGTCTGGTACCAGACCTTCCGAGGGCCGGACCAGGCGGGTGGGCATGGACCAGCACAGGCCTGCACGTGCAGAGGGCACCAGAGGCCTGGCAGCTGCAGAGAGGGGCAGGAGCAGAGGGATCCCACCAATGAGGCCTCTGTGGCCTGGTTCCCTCTCCCACTTCTCTGGCCTTCCTCTGCCCCTCCCCATCCCTTGCAGGCAAAGGAAGCCTCCAACTTCCCCCACTCCCCCAGGTGCCAGGTGGGAAAGTGGGTCTGATTTTTAGATTTTTGTATTGTGGACTGACTTTGCTTCACATTAAAAACTCATCCCATTGCCCGGGCAGGCTGCTATGCTCCTAGAGAGGTTCTCTGCACCCAGCATCTTGCATTGGGTTTACTAGCTCTCACCCTTCCACCCAGAAACTTTCCTGTAAGCCCCCCTTCCTGGAAACTGAACTACTACAACCTGTGGGAAGGCAGGCCCTGACCTCTGGGCCCCTTCATCTTGGATGCCCACCCATGGCCTAGCCAGTGTGCCAGCTCAACACCCCAAGGATGCCCTCTGGCCAGCAGAGGGAGCCCACGAGCCCTCCTCGCCGCTCCAGCCATCCAGTTTTACTCACCGCACTCCACACAATACTAGAGAGCAGCAAGGGTGTGGTACAGGTGCTGGCTGAGTCCTCTACTCCACCTCCATGGGGAGGGGGCGCAGACCAAAAGGCTGACCTCACTCAGCAAGGGGACTAGTATCTGTAAAGCCAGAGAAATGGTCAGGGACAAATTTAAGTTTTATTCCTGGGTCCCAGTATCTACATGGCTTCAGCTGGAGAGCACTTAGACTCTAGGTTACCCCGGAGATGAGGACCCATCACTCCTATTTCCAGGGTTCTTCCCAAAATGACTACTGCAAGGCCAGAAAGATTCTGATTATAGGAGCCACCTCTCTCCCCACAGTGAGATTGGTCGCAGCACAAGAGCCAGGGCCGTTGTGAAAGCTGGGGTGAGGAGGGATTGGGCCCCGTGCTTCTGAGAGGCCATCCAGACCTGAGAGCTAGAGATCCCAAGGTCAGAGTTCTCCAAGGTTTGCAGAAGACAGCAGATTTGGCCTGCAAGAGAGCCCCCAGTGGACCAGGTGAGGAGTGGGCATAGCCCTCATCCACCTGTCTGGTGTGGGGTCACAGATGGGAGGAGGTAACCACTGGCCTGAGACTCAGTCCACTAGGGCATTCTGTTGCCCAAGCTTCAGGTTCAAAGGCTGAAAATAACAGTGGCTTCCAGACAGTTTGGAGGTGCCTACAATACAAATATGAGCAGAAAATCAAAAGTATTGTAATAGTCTCAGTGGGTATCAAGCAGTTACTTGTATCAAGCACCTCAGTACAGGATTTCACTTAATTCTTACAGTAATGATAGTATTAGCCCATTGCTCAAATGAGAGAATTGAGGCAACTTGCCCACAGACATGGACTTGGCCTAAAGCAATCCAAATCGATTCCAAAGTTCCTAAAGACTGCAGCTTCTCTCCAGACTCCTGGGTCTAAGTCACTGTGGCTGGTATGCTGGGCACCTTTGAGCCAGCCATCCACCTTCTCTGGGCCTAGGATTCTACAAAAGGGAAAGCAAGGACTGGAAATCTCAAAGGCTTCTCTGAGCCAGGGGGTCCCTTTCAGGAACTTCTCGGATCTCTTCTGACTCCAGCTGCCTCCGGAGGGGAGGCCGTGTGGTCCTGGAACAAGGCTCCTCTGAGGGCGGCAGATGGGGCAGGCAGCCCAGGCACACAGTGCGGTTGGTTCTGCGGCCCAGGGCCCACAAAGGCCTCATTGAGTCACCGCCGGCCCCTGGCAGAGGCTGAGGTGGCAGTGGCGCCGGGCGCCTGCCACCTAATGACCATCCTAGCCCGGCCAGATGTTCCACAGACCTCTGCAGCGGCCATCCAGGGCCCGCCCGGCCAGCCGGCACCGCAGAGGCCACTCTAATTCCAATTAACCAGCTTCAGCTGAGCAAACAGCGGGCAGCGGTGGCCCAGCCCGGGCGGTAGGCCCGGCCTGCAGAGCCTCCGAGTCTAGACTCCAGATGTGAACCACCACCGCCAGAGTCCCATGGAAAAATGGCACCAGGCCGGGCTCGGATTGGGCCTGCACGCCGGAGAGGTTGGGGTGGGTGGCTGGGCAGGGCCCTGGGTAGGCCTAGTGCCAGCCTCACCCCGGGGTGGGGGTAGATTCTTGGGAACTGTTCCAAAACCCCCAAGTTCTGCCCCTGATTTAGTAGGTGTCCCTCTGTGGCCTTGGTCTCCCTTGATTGACTATTAGGTGGGAGAGGACTGTAAAGGGGAAGACCAGCCCTGCTGAGATCACCAGTACACACGCTGTTTCATTTGTCTAGCATTATGCTGTGTATTTCAGAAACATTTAACAGGTTGGTACCATTTTTTTTTTTTAGATAAAGGAAACTGAAGTAGAGGGACATTAAGTCCCCAGAGGGGATTTGAACCCAGGGTGCCTGGCTTCCAAGACCATAATGATCACCAGCGGTGCCGTTTAACATAAGTCAGGATACTGGATTCCAGGTTCCCTTTCTTGAGGGTGGTGGTGGAGAAGAAAGTAAGCGCCTGACTGAGCAGGGCTAGCTGCCACGATGAGACTGGAACAGGCCTGCCCACTCCGTTCTGTTTCCTCAGCTGTGAAATGGATAAGAACCTCCCAAGGAAGGCTCCAGGCTTCTAGAGGTAAAGCCTTGAGGTGCCCTTTCAGGCCTCAGCACCACCAGGTAGGAGCTGGGCACCAGGCAAGTCGCTGGGCACAGCACGAAACACGGCAAGTGCCCAAGCTGGAGCTGAGTTTTGATGGGGAGACAGACTTGAAACGGCTAAGGCGATAACGTCTAGTCCATGTTAGTGACAAAACCTAAGGCTGGAGAGGTACCTCAGGCTCCCACAATTCTGTCTGGGGGCCCTAAGGGGCAAAGCCAGAGCCTGTGAGATCCAAGAGGTCAGAGTTCAGCTGTCCTCACACAAATGGGAAAACAGCCCCCCAAAAAGGCAAGATTTGCCCGGGGTCTCACAAGGAGTGGGTACCAGAGGCCAGTGAGGCCTATGGCTCCCTGCCGGCCCTGGTTTTCCAGCGTTCAGATTCCCTCCTTGATTCCAGGCCGGGCCGTGGGAGGCGGAGGCTGAGGAGGGGCGGGAGGTGCTGCACCCTGCCAGGGTGCGTCAGGAAGGGCAGAGCGGGAAGGAAGGCACACCCCCTCCCCCGCCGCGGCCACACCTGGGCTCTGCAGGCGGGCAGGGGGGCCCGGCCGGCGCCTGGCTCCAGCGAGTCTGGGCTGCCTCCCCGCACCGCCCCGTGGGGGCCGCCAGATGGGCCGGACGCCCGCCCAGCAAAGCAGGCAGGAAACGGCCGCCTGGGCTGCCTGGAACGCAGCCGCCGGCGGCAGGGGCGGGGCCCGG